TAAACTTGAAAAAGTTTTATTTAAATAACCTTAAAATAAATATATTGTTTATTTCTTATAACACTTACAAAACATTAAGTAATTTCTATTATATCTATCTTTTTATTGTTCTACATGGAGGAAAAGGTTCGTAGCCGCGCTCTAATTGCAACCCCAGCAGTGGACATCAATCACCCGGTAGACGTAACAACGAAAACACTGTTAGTTTTGCCGCCGAATTATTAATTACATTCGAACAAAAAACTCACACACAACGCCGAAACGCATAAATTTCTTCCTTTTTCACCGCACAAAGGAGCCGGGCGGCCTACAATATAACGCTAAACAGATTAGCCGCGCCCGACACGGCCGTCGCGGCATAATTTTTGGCGCCAGTAGTCCTGCCTCTAGATTAAACTAATATGAAAAGGAAATTGAGTAGAAAATGGACGAAGCCTCTATGTGTCATTAAGAATTGGTTACGCCGCTCCAAAGTGCCGGCACGACCTTTATTATATTTGACTTCATTTAATTGAATTAACTTTAACGTTTTTACGAGCTGCCTGTGATGTTCGGAACGAAACGTAATGACCTATTTTTGATAATAACAATAACGTTTATGTGACGGATATTGCTTTATAAATAATTAACAGGCCCACCGATTTACGGCACTCGACGAGAATATTGTAGACCTAAATCCAAGCAGGTAAACCACTATAATGAAATGATTTATTACAGACTATTGAAATTATAATATATAATTCAAGAACAATTACAATTTCTCAGTTAAAGTATTTGAAACAAATTGAGTAGGATTTATTATTCAGAACGGACGGCCGAGTAAACGGGGACTTGAATTATTATTCAAAGGCACGGCAATATGAAGAAAATTTACACATAATGTTTTCTCTTACGGTGGGGGATATTTGGCGGTCCACTCGAGCTGCGGGGGCGGCCATGAATAGTAATAGAGGTTAGCTTTGGGCTCGGGGCTCGGGGGAGCCGGCCCGGGCTGCACACTCAATCGCGGGTAATGTGCCGCTTATGGTGCGTGCTAAATCGACAATACCCGGGGGTGCCCTGCTGACTAACAAACCATTTCATGGACTCTCCTATTTTGCTCGGTTTGTTCTTAATATTAAAGTTCATGGACCGTGAACGTTTTTCCCACTACGGTACCTTGTGATAAGTTTATTTATAAGTTTGGAATTTGATTAGTTCAACACATTCGTTACGCTCATTTATAACCTACTTCAACATTTGGCTTCTGTGTCAGATATAATCAAACTGTCTAAATAGAGTTTGTTTAAGACAAGACTATGCTAAGACATCTATGTTCTTAGTGATAATATTAAAGAGTACTTTTGTATGAGATCAGATATCAAACTAAGTGATTAATCTTATCAAACATTAAAAAGTATAGATCTACCTCATTTAATGTATACTCATAATGTCAAGAACCATAATTAATGTTATCCTAAAGCCTACAGCCACAGGTTACAAATGACTTGCAACTTATCAGTGATAAGAATGTTAGTAAGGCTACGTTAGAGTATGTTAGCGGTAAGTGCGCGTAAGGTCTGGTCGGCTCATGGACTCACATTCATGAGCAGGTCCGGAGAGGAGGAGCCCTTGCCGCTCATGGCGATGGCGCCGGGTGTTGGCGCATGTCACACACTCACAACACTCGCGAGCGGCGCAGGCGGCGCGGGTGGCGCGTTCTCAGTGCGCCGGGCGCCGCGACTGACGCGCTGGCCCCCACCGCACCACGAGCCCCCACCGCTACCGGCTGCCTCATTTCTCACTATAATTTGCGTGCTGCTCGTTTTTTACCATTATTACTCCCTCGTTTTGTTTTACGTATTATCGAGTGCATCCCGCTCGCACCGGCCGCCATGCGCGCCCGGCGCCGCCCAGATAATAGCCGCGTGCAATTACGTCGCAGCGCGGTGACGCCGAGAGTACACATTACTACCGCTAACGCCATCTTGTGACGGGCGGACGAACTCAATATCCCAACACAATTTTAACAGAAGAATTCAAAACACATAAATCGCAATATATTGCACTAATAAATTTGTTGTTAAATAATAATAATTCTTCAACAACCATATCAACAAACACACTACTATAAACTTTTTATAGATATATATCTATCGCAGTACCTACCAATACGACTATATTTTATGTAGATCTGGGATTAAAATCTCAATTATTTGATGTCATTAATAAAAACAAAACCAAAAAACTCCTAACTAAAAGTCTTAAGTTTGAGCTGTTTTCGTAGCAGCGCGTAGCACACAGCGCGCGACGTAACATCTCCTAACTACATAACTGATCTAACTAACTTAGAATACAAGAAGGACATAGATAATATTAATTACTGACACTACAATTATTCAACAATAAAACATAGGTATAATATTATGTACATATGTACATTGATCATTGAGACGCACTCGAGTTAATTCTGAATGTTTTTAACACGTTTCAATCGATGTAATGACATATCTTCCTCTTTGATAGTTGAAGTAATAACTTAACGATATAACGATACCAATGAAAATTATTACATTATGTTGAAAGTATTGCATTATAGGGAGAATAATAAATCTTGAAGTTCGCCTTTTTTAACATGTTTTTTTTTTAAGTTGACCTGTAACGAACTACTTATGTTATGATAACTGTGAGACTCAATTAGACATATGTACTTCTAATTGTTGTATTATTATGATACTTAAAAATTAATTGTCCATTCGATGACCATGTGTTGATGGACGAACCTACCCAGAGGTAAACATAATATCGGGATTAGTCTAATGAGATATTGAGCTTATTTCTTTGTATTTTGCAATGGATTGCTATAAGTAGGCACAACAATGAAGTAGAGTTGACACCATAAAATTATTTAAAAAAATATGAAGATATCTAATAAGCATTAACCCTTTATATTGTACAGGTCATCTTCCTTACCTTGTCCCGTTTTATTTGGGGTCGGCGCAATATGTTTTTTTCTTCCATTCTGTCCTGTCTCCCGTCACGCTATCACTAACTCCTCTGTCTTCCATATCATTTCTCCCACAATCCATCCATATTTTCTTTGGTCTCCCTCTCCCTCTCCATCCATCCACATGGTATCGGGACGAAAACAAAATATTAAATACGTACCTACCTTTATTTTAAAGTTATTAAATCGTCTGAACTGTGACGTTCTTTGTCAGCGCGTTTAAACATAATTTATAACGTTATAGCCGTATATAAAACATTTCATTCAGGAACTCGATACCTTACTTATGTGTTTAAGTAAAATATTGTTATAATAAATATTAATTATACTTCGTAACACCGTAGAAGCTATTCTGGCGCATTAGTAGGTTTTATTCCCCGATGATATTCATAGAGATGTGATATTGCACCTACCCCTTTTCTGAAGGAGGATAACACGCCCTAGGTAGGGCAAGAGGGAATGTCACATTCTTACTGACTAAAAAACATTATTTTATTGCGTAATAACATTTATTATGTTATTGCGTTCTTATCTGTCACCCTGGCTGGACATTGGCTCCAGTGGGCCTAATCGGTGGTGGGTGGAAGTGGTCCCTAGGTGGCTCTCGCGGAAAATAGAAGGCCGTACGCCCGGGTCCAATTCTAGCCTTTGGTCACCGTCTGCAGTCCCGCTCTGGTATACACACAGACTCTATACTTCTATACTAATATTACAAAAAGGTAAAATTTGTAAGTTTGTAAGTTTGTATGTAGAGGGTAATCTTTGGAACCGCTGGTCGGATTACCAAAATTTTTCACTGATAGGTAGCTACAATATTATTGAGTGCTATAGGCTATAAAACATCACGCACGCTACGATTACATGGAGCCGTGCAACGGCTGAAACCGCGCGAGAGTAGCTAGTTATCAATAATTCCTAACAGTCCAATTTGCAGTTTATGGAACCTTAAACTGGGAAAACTTATAACTAACTTTTCCTGTACTATTCCATACTGAAAACAATTGCTAAAAAGAATACTAGTTCGTTATAATACAGAACCATATGATTGCAGTTGCAATTACTACAATTATCGACTTCTCGGCAACTTTTTTTTAACGTCACTTATAAGTAATTATAGTATAAAAAAGGAAAACATATTTAATAGATATTAATATAGACAAGTCGTTAAGTATTTATATTTATTTGTTTCATTTCAATAACACATTATATACTACATAGTTAGCCATTAAAAATTCCGTTATCTATCGATAGGATTGGTGATTAAAGCCATAATTTATATTCGCACCGAACATCGGCAACGAGGCAGGTTTATAAGATTTTAATGTTTTGTACATTTTAAGAATTTGTATGGTAATTGAATGAGAGTCGTGACGCCCCCATTTACAGCCACATATGGTAGGAAGGTTAAAGATCGATTTGAAGCTATACTTAATAAGTTTCGCCGTTCCATTAATACTTAGGTACCTATAATCGATTTGATCGCTTGCGCAGATTGCATCGATAAGTTGTTTATGATGAAATTGGAATATTCTATCGAACATTAAAGCTAATTCTATACTTACGTACCGACGACAGAACTTTATATCTTTATTGATCGATCATTGCTAAACAGGATAATGTGTATAGTTTTTTTAGATTCACTTTAATGTTTAAATATTATTTTATTTTTCTAAGACGTTTAAAAAACTACTGATAAAAGATTGATGTGTTATTTATATGAGATTTCAAAATACAAACACTTATGAGGATAAGAAATTAAAACGATATCATAATTTATCAAAAAACATATTTTTATTTATCGCTTCAATAAACGTATACAATACAACAATTTAAAGGCACATGATTTTCATTCAATACAAAACTTAATTTACAACTATATTACAGACATCACATTTAAATTCACGGTAACTTAAATGATATAAATATTACCTACCATAATATGGGCACATGCAAGTACACTAACATATTTCAACAGAAAATTATAATACACCATAAAGCTTATTCACTATGATTCTTATTGTCCTAATGCCACAGGAGGTTGCAAGTTATAATGTCCCTGGAGCATCGCGTAATTGTCCTTCGAAGCACACTGGTAGGTACTGATAGGAGCCGGGTACTGCTGGTACATCCTATGATCACGGACCGGCGGCCGAGGGTACAACCCGTCCTGCCTCATGTCCGGGTACCAGCCCGACATCATCCCACTCCCGAACATTCCACCACTGTTATAGTTGGCTGCACTCTGCATCATACTCGGAGCCACCGCTGCGTAGTTCAGAGACATCTGCTTAGGAGCACTCGCAACCGGCACAGTACCGTAATTAGTACTTCCGACTGAAGTGACCGGCGCGGGCGCAGCGGCCGGCTGCGGCTCCACTGAACGTTCAGGTTTATCACTCACGACACTCGACGTCTCTTCCTTCTCGTCATCTTTAGTCTTCTTGCTTTTCTTCGACACGTTCGCGTGCGTCTTCACATGTTTCGCTAAGTGGTCAGACCGCATAAATCGTTTGGTGCACAGTTGACACGCGAATCTCTTCTCGCCTGTGTGCGTGCGCAGGTGTCGCTGGAGTTCATCGGAGCGTGTGAATCTCTTGCCGCAGAACAGCCAGTTGCACACAAAAGGTCGTTCTCCAGTATGCCAGCGGAGATGCGCTTTTAGGTGAGAAGTTTTCCCGTAAACTTTTCCACAGCCAGGTACATGACACACGTGTTCTCGTTTGGCTCCATCTTTGCCGTAGTTGGGGCCGAAACCAGCGGCTTCAGTCAGGCAATTAGGACAACGGCACTTAGCACAGCGCCGCTGGAGTTCGCGAGCTTCCTCTGTAGCGGCAGGAGTAGGAGGCCAGTACGCAGGATACTGGGCAGGGTAGGCAGGCAGCTCACGCCATGCAGGCGGAGCGCACCAAGTGCCTGACGAGGCACTGCTGCACGAAGACAAATCCGAGGCGGGAGATATAGCATCACCGCGACCGTAGCCACAGCCGTAGCCTGACATCATGTTCATCATCTGTAAAGATAAATACATTATTATTAGTATAACTAATAATTACAAACTTGTTTGAATTAGTATCAGTTATCATAAACTGATACAATGAAGACTATTTATAAAAAGTTTTAGAAAATCACTAAGTCAATTGACGTGAAAACGGTTTACTTTTTTACTGTAATATTAATAAACTCTGAAATTATGTCGACTAGTTAGTGGGCGGGCGGACGAACCTGTTGCGCGGGCGGATCCACGTATTGCATTTCCGGTGAGTGTGGTGACAACGTAGCGCGACGAAACCTTCAACTGGATAATTACAGGGCGGCGCACCGCTCGCGCCGAGACGTTTTTAATAACTGGCTTGGAATAGACGTAACAAGCGGTTGTCACCTCGCCCCGGCCCCGCTGCCCCGAGGGAGCGAGCGGCGCGCGCGCACCCCGGGCCCCGGACCCGCCACCCCGCGCCCGCCCGCCACAGCCTCCGACACACCCCACCAAGCCGTGAGTTATGAGCTTACCAGTTCGGCTCTTAAGAGAACGGGAAAGCCACGAGAGCGAGACGACAACCGTCCAAACAAAGCTAAAGGTTACGTTAACTTAAGCGTGTGTTTACTTTGGGCTTTATCTTGTGCCGCATTGGGTTGAAGTAATTATGTGGAGGTTACGGCCGCGGTTTTATGTAAATTGAATTAATTTACAGTCTAACGGTACGAAAATGTCAGTTTAATTGCATTGAAGTCACATCTACACTTGGACGTAACATTAAGTTGGACGTTTATGTCTTTCGCACTGTCATTTGCAGATTGCCAATAAAACCTTTAATCATCGAAATAATCATATTTAGTAGACCCTATGAAATGTGACTTATTAACTACAAGTATTGAATGTTTTACCTTGGATAGTGCGGTGATACAAGCATCATTTCTTTATAATTCAGTTCCCAAGTCAGAGACGCTTAATGTATTTAATTTTTTCTCTATTTCGGTCGGCAGTTCGCGGCAGACGCATGATTTATGCATATTCGACCGGAGCCAAACCTTTAATTACACGTTGTTAAAATATGGCAGTTTGTTAAATCGTTCGCTCTGCTTTTGTTTTTCCAAGCGCCGCGCCTCTAACAAAACCGTTCCCTTTTCTTCCTTCAACGAAATTTTTAGTTTCATGTAGTTTTTTATTTAATATAATTGCCTCGCTTTCCAACTTGTTGGTTTATTTGTACATACTTTGGATGTTTGAAGGCATGGGAAAGTTCTTGTGCTGACCAAAAATCATCAACTTAAAACATAAAAAAAATACTTATTTATTTTATCTTTAAAACAAATAAAACGTGTATTTCACTTATTAATATACAAATATTGAAGAGATCACAGCTCGTTTTTTTTATATTTTAATAAAGTATTAGTGAAAAATTTTAGAGAAATATTTAAAAATAAATACTTCAATGTTCATCAGGTTATTAAGTACCACTATTTTATAAACTTATGAACTAATATAACAAACCCCACAACCATACTAGTTTCTCTTTATTAAACAAACAAAGCACTCAAACAAATTAGGTAGGTAGTACCTTAAAACGATTATCACGCTGTAAAAAGCATGAAACGATACTAATAATGACATCGCATAGACTAGGCAATGCACTTGCAGAATTCAATCGCTTAAACATATTCAAAGAGATGTGACAAAAGTGATTCCTCGAAGTTTACTACTGTACTCCATTTTGGACGAACCTGTCGACATGTTTACGACACTGTAGAACAATGAACCTTGGACTATGGGCATCGCTACTGTGTCCAAGCCTGGACACACAAAGCCCACATGCCGTGCACAATGTCGACTACTAATGTTCTATGATCGGCCGCCATAAATCAACTAGCTACTGCCTTTTGCGACAAAAAAGTCAGTCAGTCAGTCTTTCTGCTTGTGTGGATGTCATGTGCAATATATTTTGCCGATGGCTTTGATGTTTGACACAGAACTTTGTATTTCAGTGTCTGTAGTTGCCGCGATATTAACGCGAGTGCATAACACGGTATCACGCTGTTTTGCTGCTCATAAAAATTATTGAAATGTGAGTTTTATGCAGTTTTGTCGTCACTTAGATACTTGTGATTTTTTTAACATGGTGAGTACATATTTGTTGACAGGTCTTTTTTGCTTTCTTATCAAAAATATGATCTGAATCCATTTGAGTACGTTGGAACTTATACAGTTATATTTAACCAGCTTTATCGAGAAAAGAGATGAATTACGAAATAGACAAGCGAAGCAATGAAAGTCAACCAATGTTGCATATCAATCAAAAAGTTTGGGAGAACCATGCTTCTGCACGAATGGGGTCAGCTCGATCGGAGTGATACAACGGCCTCACAGAAAACCGGCGTGAAACAACCACAGCGTTGTGTTTTGCCGTGTGAGTGAGGTTACCGGAGGCCCAAATTTCTTCTTTCCCCTCCCCCAACCCCTAAATCTCCAAATCCCTAATCCCCGAATGGTCGGCAACGCACTTATAACTCCTCTGTTGTTGCGGATGTCCATGGGCGGCGCTTAGTGTTTACTATCAGGTAATCCGTTTGCTTGTTTGGTGTCCTATCACAAAACAAAAAAACACAGAATTAAACGTTAAGTTAACACTCCCCAATCCTCGCTAATATTGACCTTGTAGAATAATGAGAAATCTGAAATTTAACAAAAGTTTTAAAGATAAGTAACACGTATATACAGTGCAAAATAAATTATTACCTATAAAGCGTATTTATTTTATTAGTTCCTACTCGACACTTTATAATAAACAATTTCCCTCATTTATAACATCCTACATACCTAGAGAGACCAACCATAATGAAATCATTAGTGAAAATACATCGGCATCTGAATCGCACGGCCGTTTCCGCTCAAGAAGGCTGGTATATTACATTAATTACAGGTTTCTGATATCGTGGGCGGGTAATTGGTTCTATCGCACGCTGTCCTCACTTCCTGTCTTTTGCTGGGCCTGTATGAGAACAGTGCGACTCAAAAGTACCGGCCTGGTGTCAGGTTGCAACTATTGTACCAGCCAGCGCGGCACCCACGCAATGCACTGCCACTACCTAAAACGAAGTCAATTGTGCATGCAAAGCTCTTTATCGGATCCTTAATATTTTTTGTTGATTTCCACGCTTTTGTTACGACGTTGATAGCCGAAATATGATTTTAATGTGAGATAAATTGAGTGTTTTATAGATACATGTTTCCTGGTTCTGTTGGTACCTATATTCCTAATTTGGCCTCAATATTAGTCCGTGATACTTAGTTATTTAGTGTGGAATTTTCTTGAATGAAGTATCTACTAAGGCAAAAAAATCTTTTAAAACTAAACGCAACAAAGAAGAGTCTTTCTGTCTCTCAGTTGTTTGCGTGATTCCAAAATTAAAAACATAACTTTCTCTAGTCGTTCACAAAAATATTTCAACTCAATAAGTTATATTACTGAGCAATAAATTGGCCCAAAAAAGTCACAATCATAATACAAATTTACCAAAAAATGTCAAGATGATCTTATACTCGCAAAAAACATTAAGATAACAAAATCGAGACTACAATTTCGGATTAACGATTTTTAAAGAAATCTGATATTTACCAAAGCACTTCGCACAAAGAGCGTAAAAAGCTCAAATGTTACCTACGCGGGTTACGAATAAGTTTTATATTATAGCTATTGTATTGAAGCGGACATTGTTGTTATCTGATCGGAATTCCGCTCATTTTGCGTCCTACGATGTGCGTCTAAAGGAGTGAAGGATGCATTGTGTAGGTGTAACAAGATAACCAAATGTACCTGTTTGTGACAATGTAAAGAGCACAGGTTCGCACAAACCGATGTTCCCTTGTCAAGCCATTGTCACAGACTTGACAGATCTTTGCGTAACTCAGTAGTGCGATAAAAAATTCTTTGTTTTTGAAAGAATTTTGAATGCAAACCGCAAGTTTCGGTAGTTAAATCGGACGTATTTATAATAAATTTAAAGTCTTAGTTTAAGTAAGTATATCAAGACTATATAAAGCTGTGTCTAAGAATTCCAACTTTTTAATTAGGTACTTCTAATTTTTGTTTTATTGGGTGGGGTGGTACATGGGCAGTCACTTCCCTTCCGTGATCACTTACCTTCAAGTGATCCCTCTGCTCGTTTGCCTCCTACACAAACTCAACACTTGCAGCACCAGAAAAGATACAAGTGCGTTGCTGGCCTTTTGGCGATTAGGGTTTTGGAGATTTAGGGATTGGGGGAGAAGGGGAAGGAGGAGAAATTGGACCTAACACACACAACGAAATACAATGCTGTGGTAAAACTTTTAGATAGATACCTAATAAGGAGTTACTTAGCCACTTATAGGCAAAGAACATTGACGTACCTAGGTCAGAAGTGAAATTAAAAGTTGACACTCTATTAACCCTTTCGTGTTGATAATTAGAACTTAAAGCATGACATTACATTTTTTCCTTAATTTTTGTATTTAATTAACCTAAAGTAGGTAACAGCGAGGTATTAAAACATGTCTTATACCGTAGGTAGTACCTACTTAGTTGTTATAACTATATAGGTAGGTATATGTAACACTGTAGGTAAGTACTAGTTTAAGTAACAGAAAATCGTAATGACAAACATCACCCACACAACATTTTGGCACAAAAACATCGTAACATAAGTAAGCAAACATCTAAAGCGGCGATCCTTATAAGCATAGAGAATCATACATCAAAAATCACACACGGAAAAAGTTTGTTCGGACGCCACAAAAAATATTAGAAGTAGGTAGAAGATTTCTGCGGATCTTGGCACCCCGTGGCGCCGCGGCCATTCTCAAACGGACCTCTCTCTGTAAAATGACAGCCGAAATTACCCCACATCACTAAAAACGACATCTAGAGAGCAGTTTGTTTTACACAACAAGCCGTTCCGATGTAACGATGACACGATTTTGACGCCAATCTATTGCTCTCATTAGGATTCCCTTTTTTTACAAACTTTGCCATTTCTGTTAGTAATTAAGCCCTTATGAATGAGTCTAGCCATTAGTGTCAGGTTTATGGTGTAGGGAGTGGACAACGTACTGTAATGGTGTCCGGAAAAAAATAAATACGGAACCTGAACTAATTTTATAATTGTTATTGCGAATTATTAGGGTCATTAGTTTTGGATTCTTACCTACCGCATCGGTTTCAAGTTCTCTTTGTTGTTGAAAGAAAAGAACTTATAATTAAGTAGTAGGTATCATTATT